ATTTGCATATTGCCTTAGCAAACTCGGAGCAGATGAGGGAACAGCAATATCAGCAAAAAGAAGAAGACTAGAAAAAGGTAATATTTTTAATTTTAGGAAAAGAAATTACAAGTAGACCAGAGAGAAACAATCGGAAACCAAGAGAATACGTCTACAGTGAGCCTATTCGAATCAAGTATGACTATTACATTTAGGTGTCGGCACACAAGAAAGTTATAGACTTGGCATTAGGTATAGAAGAACAAGTGAAACGGTGGTGGTCATTTTTAGTTGGCAATCAGTAGATACGTTTGCTCATAGACGTTGTCCATGAAGTAAAGGCTTGGCCACAATATTTACTCGGTCCAAATGCGGTACAGCGATAAAGGAATCTGCAGTGTCAAGTTAGGTTGCCCTGCCAATTGAGAATCCAGACTTTAGGGGCTTGCTCAGTGAGGCTGGTGCATACGTGTAATCAAACACTTGAAGCAGGGTGCAGAACATAACGCCTTGAGTAGCACGGATACGGTGGCAGCGATGGGGTGAAAACACTGAAACATGCAAATAATGTAAGAATCCTACATAGCAACAGGAGGACTCTGATAAGACCCGAAGGGAGAGGATTGCGGATTAAACCACAGCCTTGGATCAACACTCCAGGCAGAGTGGGAGGAGTGTGGGAACCAGCGGGAGTGTGAATAAGTTTCAAATAGGTTTAGATAGACAGGTGAGAAATTGTGATATTGAAAGAGTGATACGAGGATATAGGATTTGTGAATAGCCCAGGACAGGAGGATACCACAACTGTTTAGCAGACAACTGGTCAAAGGATCGACTTGACTTGTCCCTTTAACGAGTTGTAGTGTGGTGTTAAAACTGACAAGGCTCACTGACGATGCCGACTACGATACTGGCGAAACGTTTAGCAATGAACCAAATCCGCAGTCTGACTCTGGAAATTATCATGCAGACTATGGAATACGGACAAAATGCGCTCCTCAAGGTCTTTCTGTCAATATGATGATGTGCGCCATACGGCAGGAGGAAAGCTTTACATGTTTTCACAGGAATCGAAGAAGCATACTTTGATCAAAGTATGAGCTTCATTTGTCTCTTTGATGAGCTGTACTATGGCGTTAAGATTGGTGAGACTCAGTGACAATGCCAGCGAAGCGTTTGGGAAAGTTCCACGTCCACGGTCCAACTTTGGAAATAATCATGCATATAATGGACTTCGGACTAGGTGCGTTCCTCTAAGTCTTCCTACCAATATGAGCAAGTTGCGAAAACAAGGTCAAACAACTTTTATAAGTGCTGTTTTAGTTCACTTTATAGATGCGAAACAGGATATCCAGTGCTGTAGCTTATTTTTTAATATCTCTTCTATTCGTTGATTACTTGGTTTGCGCACCAGCAAATTACGAGGCAAAATTATGCTTGTCAGTAGCCTCAGATGAAGCTAAAAATGAATTGGCGGCTATAAGAATTAAATAAAATTAATGTATTTAACGAAGCTAGGATAATATAGCGATTATGATATAAAAAGTGTCATCAATGATGATAGAATAGGTGTATATACATTAATGTCGAAATTAAAATTTATAAAAAGGACACTGAAATAGTAGTGGTGTTTTGAGATAATCCACTTCTATGTATAAGCCAGGACTCACTGAAAAAATTAAATTAGATAAGCAATAAAAATAATCTGGATTAGAGGAAAAGAGTAAAAGGAAAAGAAAGAGAAATATATAGGAAAAAAACATACATTTACTTCATCTATGGAGGTATTCAACCCAGATGCAGAAGGCCAGAAGCCCTCCAAATATCGACTAGAGACACGTCGATATCGGATCCAGTAATGTAAAATTAGACCATTCGGATCATCAGGGGCAAGCCAATGAAGCCGGATGGCTCGTGGTAAATTTTCAGGGCTAACAGACTTCACAGCCTCGCTCGACACTCCGAATTTCCTATCCTTCCTGTAGAGAACCGTTTGTCCATCTACTTTGATTTTTTCATATCGTTCGTCCACATCCTTTATATCCATCCCAACACGAATCACAAATTCATCGTCCTCTAGCTTTGTGGGAAACAGTCTTGTCTTTTTTATGGTCGCCCCAGTTTTACTCGACCACTTTTTCTGCTTTTGAGCTTTGGAAGTTGAAGAAGAGTTGTATTCATCAGGTGATTTAGCAGTCAGTTTGGAAGAGAAGACCCTCGCTGATATCATGCTTGACCCCAACTGAGATGATTGTAGTAGCTCAGAGAAATGGTTACTAGAGGAGGTTTTTAATGCAGTCAACTGCTCTGCCTGTCCTATCTGACCGGTGCTGGTGCGACCCGGAGAGGCGGCAAGGTGGTCTGCTTCAGGGGTGGTCGGAAGAGTCATATACAAACTGTCCGATGCCACCGTGTCGACGGCCTTGCTAGCCTGTGTGCGCTGTGAGACATATACTTCCCTGCTACACCAGGATAAATTATCCATGTCAGCTTCTTGCGACATCATACGCTATGAACAGTGGCAAGAAGTAATGTAAAGTAAAATATAGGCAATGAACTTTTCTATAGTGATGAAGTTATTTTGAAACAGAATATTTAAGCAAATTGAGTAAATAAGCGATTATAAACGAGTGATGAAATACAATTGTATAAGGTCAAAGAGGTATATATTTTTGATATTCTCGGGAATAACATTTAAGAATGTTCGTAAATATGAAGTCTTAAGTTGAAATATCAATACTTGCAATACCGTAATGCATACCATCTATGCAATCACCAACCTAATACTTTAAAATATTTAAGATATCGTGAAATGGCGATGATTGGAGGCTCCCCAATAAAATATTTTTTATCAGTAAGCTTTAAAATTCCAATTTCATCAAAGATGCAGGGGAAAAATAAAAGTTAAAGAAATAAAAACAGGAAAATTAGTATTTTTGGAGAAGCCTACGGCCAAGCTTTAGGACAAATAATACTAAAAAGGCTGAAGACATCATATAAAGTATGAATAAACTTAAAATTAATTATTACAGCCAATTATTAAGTAGACGTATAAAGCATAACGTCCACAGCTGAAAATATCCATTATCGCCCTCAAATGGGTAAAGAAATACAGTGGCAACCCATAAGATAATGAATTCTGGAGTTTGCTTTACATTGAAAGCTAAGCTTGTCATGTAACATAATGGTCGAGGGGCCGTGTGGCTTAGAAGGATAACGCCCGCTTTCAAACCCACAAGTGCATGGTTAGAATGTTTATATGGATATTGACGTGACCTAGAAAGGTTAAAACGTCTATTCAGCCAGGGTGAGCACATCCAGTCGGGATACATAGCAAAGTGCAAAAATAAGACTTATTTAATTCATCGTGGGAAATCACCATCGTTCAAGTGAGAAACCAATTTTAAATTATACCACAACAATAAAATATGCTAAATTGGATATAGATGATTAGTAAGAAAGATATTACTATGAAAGCAACCTAAAGAAGATATTCAATATTTTCTCTTTAAACTAGCGAAAAATTTTTCATGCTCAAGCAATATGAAAACTTAAATAAAATTATTAACTGATAGGTTGCGCTGAAATGG